TATTTCTTTCTTACACTTCTTCTCCCCCCATACTCTGAGCATCCGTCTTGTGGGTCGCTGTATTTACCACTCCTTGTGGTTCTGTAATCTTTTCTTTTTTTTATTTAACAAGTTAACCAGTTTCAAAAAAAACAAAAAGGTGTCCAGTGAGGAAATTCCTAGGTTAATGTTAAGTTCGAAAAGAAGGAAGAAATCATTTGGAAAGATTTTCCAGAAATCAACATTGAATTTTCCCCTAGATAAGCAAGAACAAAATCTTTAGCCTTGAAAACTTTTAAAGAAACTTTTCAATATAATGTACTGCAGTAAAAAGTTATTTCCTATGAATAGGATGGGGAGCATCATTTCCCTGTATTCACTCAAGAACCCTGCGCAAGATCACTTCAGACGAAACCCCCATTTTCCTGGATACAGAGCCTGTCTTAGAAGGCAAAACATGTGTGCTTTGAACTCTTGTGGCTTGAGGAAACCGAGCTACAAACTTTGATTCTGCATTGATGGTCCTCCTCTCTTGTCACGGGATGGGCGGAATTTAAGATAACTAAAGAACGACAGATGTGGAAGTCCTAGCTAGAGGAATGGAGCTACCGCTGGGTTGGTAGTCTCCGGGCAAAGAAGGAGGCTCTTCTTCAGGAAATATCTGATCTACACTCCCGTGAAGAGTCTAAGGTTCCTTTTCTCCTTGGAGGGGGCCAAAAAACTGGAAGCAAAACTTGAACTCAGTAAGGTGGCAAAACAAGTGGAGGTCTGTTGGTACCAACAGTCGAGAATCAATGCTAACTCCAGATGAGGATCAAACTTAACCCTCTAGATAACTGAAAGACACCACACCATCTTGACCTGCAAATTGAATAATGCCATCATTTGAGCGATGACTCACCGCTCAAAACAAGCTGAGAGCTGACCACACCAACTTTTACTTCTAAACCCACTTTTAACCTTGACCTGGTTACCTGGAAAGATCCTTCTGAAAACAGGAGATTGGAATATCCATAAAAAGAATTGGGGCAGTACAAGGCCCTGGGCCCTGATGGTTTCCCAGCAGCAATGTTCAATCAATTTTGGGATAACTTTGACCGAGATTTATTACCCTTCTTTTCAGATTTTTGTCACTGAAGCACCATCCACTAGGTGATGAAGTCCCCATTCATTGTTCTTGCCCCTAAAAGAGAAGGGGCAGCTGAAATCAAAGATTTCAGGCCAATCAGCTTGTTGAATTGTAGGTATAAAATTCTCACCAAAGTCTTGGCCACCTGCCTTTGGGAAGTTCTCGGGAATATCATCTCACCGAACCATAGTGCTTTTGCCAATGATTGACAAACCCTTGATAGAACCCTGATCACCTATGAATGCCTCCAAATATGCACTAGTCTGGGTCCCCTGGCTTAATCATCGAAGTTGATTGTGAAATGCCTACGACCATGTTAATTGGCTAGTAGCCTAATACTTGACAAGGTACAACAGTTTATTGGTTTTGGTGATAGGTGCCTATCATGGATCCCGGGGTACCTATCCTCAGCCATGTTCTCAGTCTTAATTACTGGCAGTGCCAAAGGCTGCTTTCAAGCCTCTAGAGGGTTGTGCCAAGGTGATCCCTTGTCCCCTTTTCTGTTTGTCATAGTGGCTGAAATTTTCAGCAGATGAATCTCAACGGCCTCAGAATTAGCACTCAAAAAAAAGAAAGAAAGATTCCGTAGGTTTTGAGGTGGAAAAATTAAAATTTAAGGAATCTGGCTGCTGGGTTGATGTGGTGTAGATTGTTGCCAGGTAACACCTTGGGTTACCATTGTGTATAGGCAAACCTAGAATACAACAGTGGCATGGCGTAATTGAGAGGTTTGAGAGGTGACTAGCCTCCTTGAAAGGACACTTCCTTGCGGGAAGAGTTATGCTCATCAAAGCCACCCTTGCAAACATCCCAATTTTAATCTTATACCTTTTTGGAATGCCGATGTCAATGGTCAAGACTAGAGAAAATGATGAGGGAATTCCTATCGTTGGGGGCACATGGTGGTAGCAAAAAATGTGCTTAATGGTCCACTATATGCAAGTCCAAGAAAGTCAAGGAGCTTGGGTGTTAGATCTCTTTTAAAGATATTAACACTGCTTTGCTGGGCAAGTGGCTTTGGTGCTTTGCAACCCAAGAAACCAACAGTGGAGGAAGGTTTCCCAGCAAAAATGTGGTTCACATGAGTCTGATTGGCTACTAAAGCCTAATGCCAACCCATGTGTGTGACCACCAGTTGGGAGACTTGAGCATACTAATTAGATTCCATCTACCCCTGATGAAGCATGCTTCATTCTGGAGGTTATGGTACGGTTGTGGGGGCAGCAACTGTGGACCCCAAGATTCAGATGCAACCTCAATGACGTGGAACTGCTAGAACTAGAAAGGTTACTCGCTACCCTTCAAAGTTTTACTCTGTCTGGATTTGATAAGGGAATATTCATTTGGAGCCCTAACAGATCAGGTCTCTTCAGCATCTCATCTTTCTACCATGTCCTTAGGAATGAGGCCTTGCCAACATTGTGGTCAAAAGGGCTTGTTTCCCTCCTAGCCTACCAAAATTTAGTTGTTTGGATGGATCACCATACATAAAAGGATCCTTTGAGTGGACCAGCTACAAAGAGGCAGCATCTCCGTGCCCAATCGATTTATCCTTTTGCAAAGGCAGTGAAGAGACAGTGGACCACCTTTTCCTCCATTGCCCTGGTGTTGGGCACATTTGGAGCCAGTGCTTACAGATATTTGGGTCAGTATGGGTACTCCTAGGAGCCGCCCTTGATCATCTCTTCCGGGCCCATTTCTCACCCCCACCACCAAAGGCAGGGCTAATACTTTGGAAGGCATTAATCCTTTCTTTGTTATGGAATCTATGGCTAGAATGTAGCAGGAGGACTTCGAAGTTAAGGAGAGATCCATCCTAAACATTATGGAGAACAGCAAAACAGTGTTGATTGAACGGGCGAGACAGCTTAAAGGTTTTAAACCTTACACAACCTCAGACCATAATGAACTGGGAGACCACAGACAGATTTTGTAGAACACTCAACACTAGGTATTCTTGCTGGTTACTAGGGCACCATCAAATTAAACCTTGATGTTTGCTCATACGGTTGCTCAGGTAGGGCAGTTGTGGAAGGAAAAGTTAGAGAGAGTCAGGGATGCTCGATCTTAACCTTCTTGGGGCTGATGGGCGCTGCCACCTCACAATGGCTGAGGCTTATGCCCTTCTACAAGTTCTTAAACTATTCAATAGAAGTTTGTGCACTTCTTTGATCATCGAAGGGGATTTGAAAAACACTATCAACTAGGGTAATAGAGTCTATATGTGCCCATTGATACTAAATCAGATTTTGGAAGAGATTTTTTCAATTAGTGCCGCACTAAATGTCTCTTTTCATCATATTTGGCGAGAGGCTAATAGCACTGCTGATAGCTTAGCTAAACAGGGGGATTTAAACACATCTCAAGTGCTCAATCCACCCTGAAGTACATCTGTAATATTTTTTTTTTCTTTCAACTTGCGTAGTCATTTTGCAGGACCGAGTTTTCTTTTTCTAGAAAGGTTCTTTCCAAATTTGTATTCAGAATTTTGTGTACTGCATTTTGTATATTATCATTTCAGCATCATCATCATCATCATTATCTAAGCCTTATCCTAACTATTTAGGGTGCGTCACACAAATCCTGTTCCACCAATCCAGGACTCATGGATCAGGACTCATGAAATAGATATGGCAAAAGTCTTACGTTGACCACCTATGTGACACAATCCTCCTTTCTCTGGGCTTGGGACCAGCCATGGTAGAGTTGTGTATATATCTATATTAAGTTTTGATGCAGGGAGAAATAGTAACACGAATAATACATAATAAAAATAAAAAGGGTTTGAGAGAATATACCATCTCTCAAGGTTTGCAAGGGAATCCACCCAAAAAACGATCCTTTCACAAGACCAAATTTACTCAAGTTTCATTATCTGATTCAATGAAAGGACATCTTCCTTTAAATAGACTTTGAAGAAAATATATAATTAAATAAATAAAAGAACCACAAAAATTAACTCTCTCTTTTCCACGTTTTTCCTCTTCCCTATTTTCTCTCTCTTCATCTCCCTATTTTATCTCTTTCCTCAAGTGTCCCTCTAATCTCCTAACAACTTGTAACTCCCCTTTATTTCTCTCTTTCAAAATTGGCTTTATCCTGCCTAAAACATTAGTTATAATCTATTCCCCAAAATCTCCCACTTAACAATACGAACCAAAAATCCTCCCTCCTCCTACTTAACTTTATCCTTATCCTAGCTCTCTTCCTATTCCTAATTAAAAATTAAATAATAAATAAACTCCAATTTTTATTTGCATCAATTTTTTAGAAAAGTTTGTATTAAATACGTATGTAAATGATAAATGATGATGAAGATGTTGTATATTACCATTCACTCTTCTAAAAAATTTATTTTAAAAGAGAAGACAGCACAATCATCTAAGCGACACTACAGTGCGTTTTAATTGAGCACAACAGTTAAAACTGTTGTCCTATTGCAAATTGTCTGTTCAAGATTAGAAGAACAAGTCTAGAAATGGTTTTGTGATTTAAAGAGTTACCGATCCATTGGAGTTGGGGATGTTGAATGAATTTGGTTTGAGTTGAATGAAGTCAGTTGGTTCTGGAGCAAGGTAAACCATACTCTCTTTTTGATGGTCATTTTCTGTAGGGTTATTAAATGCTTCTTTTGGACTGTATCCTTTCTCCTTTTCATTCTTAATATCTGATCTTATGCAACTCGTGTTTTTCTCCATTATTTTGTATTGTTCATATTCTTAAATCAATATTTCTACTTTTGCTAAACAAGCATAACCTACCCAAAAAGAGAAAGTGAATACATGTCCTTATCTTTCTGTAGCTTAGCTGTTGCCAACAACGGAGCAAAAGTAAAAGAATAAAAAAAACAGCATCACTGCATGGATCTATTCTAATTTTTATTTTTTGGCAGGATGGATATTTGTCGATGAAGAACAGTATCAATACTTGGCATTACTGGCAATGCCTCTTAATTCCGGGCCTCAGGATAAAGCTCCCAGCCTTTCGATTCTCTCTCTCAATGACAAGACACAGACAGATGAAGACACTGCCATTCTCGAGTCCAAGATCAGCCAAATTAAAGATCTCTTCCCCGAATGTGGCAAAGGGTTCCTTTCAGCCTGTCTGGAGGTCTATAACCACAATCCGGAAGAAGTAATCCAAAGAATACTGGAGGACTCCTTGCACAAAGACTTAGCCTGTCTAGATCTATCTTTAGAGGTGATCCCACCTCCAAAAGCTCCTTCTTTGAACAAGAAAGATAAAGGGAAAGCCACGCTTGAGGAGCCCATAGTAGAACCCCCTCTAAGAGAGAGTAAAGGGAAGGAGCCCATGAGAGAGAGTCTAGTGAGGGAGGCAAGTGCTAACCATGGCTCATCTTCTTCATCTTTGCCATCTTTTGGGCGGTATGTGAGAAAAGATAGAGAAGAAAATGTGAACCCTCATTTTCTCGATGAGAGAGAAGTTAATGATGCAGTCTGCTCTGCAATTCTCGCCGCCCAATATGATGATGAGTATGATGACTCATTTGATGATTTGGGTTTGAGTCTTGTAGAGTCTGGTCTTGAGGAATCTGAGAGCCTGGGTGAGAGGATCACTAGATATTCGGGTTCAAAATGGGGTAGAGAGAGAAAGCCACAGTTTTTTGTTAAGGATGGAAAGAATTACAGTTACAAAGTATTGGGATCAGTGGCTGTTGCAAATGCCCAGGAGGCTCGAATTGTGAGCCAAGCTCAAAAGGACACCATTCATGGATTGGGAAGAGGAGGAAACATACCCGTTGGAGCAGTTAAGATGTTGATGGACTCTAATGAGAATTCAAATCTGGTTTCTGATGTTGCAGAAGAAGTATCAGGAAGAGGAAGGGGGGGCTCAAACTTTAGGGGAAGGGGACAAGGCAGAGGGGGTCGGAACCATTTTAGGAAGGACCGGGCTATGAAGAAACACTTCACAGGTCTCAGTGGATACTAGTTTCTCTCTCTTTATGCTTAGAGAGAAAAAGCTAAGGAAGTACGTGATTTTGTTATTACGGTGCCGATGGGATCGATAACATTGCTGCCCTATAGAAATATTTTATTGAATAAGAAAGGTTCACTTTGGTGAGAGAGATCTAAAGGGATTCTTGGGATAAAATGTATCCTCTTATAGTTTTAAAGTGCATTCATTTAATTTGTTTATATTAAGGAAAATATACAGTTAGACTATTTATCGTTGGTGTAAGACTATGACAATTACTTTTGTCCGTCAGATTTCAATTAGGATGGCTAGGAGTGTATCATTCACTAAGCTCAAATTTTGAAAGAAATTTTTTCGATCTTTGTGACATACCTCAAGCCTTTCAGTTTGATATCCAATGGCTATGACTATTTGTGACCTCGTTATAATAAAACGATAAGAGATTGTATACAAAGAGACAATTTATTTTTGATATAAAGATGTCACAATTACTTACTTATAACTATATGATGTGAAATCTAATGGTTTGGATGTGTCATGATTTGATATCCAATGGCTATGACTATTTATGACTTCTTTGTAATAAAGACGAGATTGTATACAAGGAGAAGATTTAGCTTTGATATAAGGATGTCGCAATCACTTATAATTATCTGATGTGAAATTTGATAATTTAGGTGTTTTATAAAGCTCGAAAAAATTTATTTTGAAGTATGAGCTTGGTCAATAGAATAAATGTGGATATCCAATTTGACATCCAATGGTCGAGATTAATAGTGACAACTTTGTATCAAAGGTAAATGGTTTTTTTGTGTAATTTTTTTGATATATAAATAATCTCATATTATACAATATTTTATATTAAAGAGATACCATGTTCTGCTTTAATATGAATACATGACATAGAGAGAATACATGAGATAGAGATATAATGTGTCATAATTGGGTCACCAAAAGGAAAAAATGGGCTTCCTCTACAAAGGGCCATAGGTCACCAAATAGGAGAAGAAATAAAAGACATGAACCCCTTCTCTAAAATTATAATTCCAAATAACTTTTTAATCCTATAAATATCCCATAAAGCCTCCTAAGTTAAACAAAAGGACACGGTTTCCATGCGGCACGCATGCATATTGTATAAATGCAGGTTTGGCAATAAATATGTTTTTTAAATATAATTTGGTCATAATTTTTAAAAAATGTATAATATTTAAGATGGAGATCATGAATATGTAATTTTTTTTTTTTTGAAAACTAGAAATCATAATTATATTAAGAAAACATTTGGATCGTTAATTACACTTATTTTGAGATGAACCACCTATTAACATCCATTTTTAAGACGAATGCTTTATACCTCTAGACCGCATATTGTAGAAATGTGGTCAGGCCTGTGTGACACAATTTTCCAAAACAAAAAAAGATGTTTAACCCCATCTTTCTCTTTTTTTATTGTCTAAATCATTTTTTCTTTGAAGGTGTGGTTTGTCTAGAGCCTAGGCTCTAAACAATCAAATTAGAGCGTACCTTCAAATAGTATCGAGAAATATGGTTTCAATACTGGAAATTTTTGTGATAACCTTAAAATGTATTTTCATCTTTACATATAAAGTTTAAAGCTTAAAAAATAGTGTAGATCAACATATCTATGAAAGCTTGAAAATTTTGAAAATTGACGGTCCAAAAATGCTTTGCAAAATACACTATTTTCAAAATTTGAAATCCATTTTTTTCTCTCGTCCATACATCTTGATGTCGAGATGATCAATTTGAGCATCAAAACAACCTTTTCTAATGAAATTTTTGAGGTAAGCTTCTATTTGATTGTTTAGAGCCTCGACTCTACGTAAACTTTTCCCTTTTTTAAATTACCATGTTATCTAAATCCTAGGATGCTCTTTTTCTTCCTCAACCATGGACTACTTCCTCTCTCTCTAGCAACCTTCTTTGAAGTGCTTATCTCTTTCATCTTATAAATCAAATCTTACAAGTTAAAAGATGCATCACAAACTCAAATTTTATTATAAAATTATTAAAAAGAAAAAGCAAATTATATAATTTGAACAATAATAAAAAAAAAGCAACGAGAGAATTAAACATATTTTTTTTATTTAACTCAAGAGATTTCATGAGATATTTTTTGGACCAAAAGTTATTTAAAATTATAATTTCAAAGAGCGGGTGTTTATCTCGTTTTCTCAAGAAAGGTGGGTCTTCTATAGGGGTGGCAATGGACACGGGACTGTCGGGTATACTTGACCTAGGTCCGAGTATTGGTCAAACATTTGGACCTAGCAGGTCGGGTTTGAATCTGAGTCCAGTTGGACCCAACCCGTACCCGTAAACTGTTGGTGATCAATACTTCAAGCCCTATTTGTTTGGGTGTATCAAAGATCCTATATAATAAGAACTCGCAATCATTTTTAGCTATCAAACGATAAATCAGACGGCTTGAAATCTAATTGTGAGTGATTGTGAACTTATTGCCCAATATATGAACATATAATGTTAAAAAAAAAAAAAAACTCATAATAGGAGTGTCAATGGACCCAACCAAATACAAGATCCGATGAGATAGACTCGAGACTTGATGAATATGGGTATAGATCCAACTTTTAGACCCGACCAATCAGGTTTGGGTCCAAAACCTAGACCTGAAAACTATTCGGATCTAGGTGTAGGTCCAACCGGACCCGTTGCCCGCGCAAGTCGCCCAGCAGAGCAACCGTTTCACTCTCTTCCCTGCAAAACACTCCCCCCTCGGTCTCACTAGTCTAAAGCCCTCTCTCTCTTCTTGAGCCCCAACCAGGCCTGACTGGTCAGTATATATTATACCCTATCTCTATCTCGCTCTTTTTGAGCCTTAACTGGTTCGCAATACGTTGTTTGTCAATGTCCAGCCCTAACTGGTTCGCAATATGTTGTTTATCAATGTCTGAATAGAGAGAAGAAACAAATATTTCCTCCATCGAAGCAGAGGGGGACATTCTCTTCGATCTTTGCATACGGTGCCAGTGAGTTTTTCCATTCATCAATGGCTGAGATTGCTTAGGTTTGAACTTCATTTTCATGTGAAGTTGGTGTGATTTCATTTTCGTATGAGTGAGCGTGTACGTATTTAGCTCTGGTCTAGCAGGATCCGTGAATTACTAAAGAGTTTTGGTTTCTGCTATATGAACAGAGATTAATTAAATTTTCTGTTATTTTCAGTTTTACTGGTCATAATTCGTGTTTGGACAATATGAGATACTATCAAAGCGAAAAACCCTTTTGTGTGTGCTGATCTTTGTGTAGTATAATGTGTGTTAGGTTGTTTTCTATCTGTTCTACTGGCTTAAATCACAATTTTCCTCAGAGACAGCTGCTGCATGGTTGCATTTATAAATTCTTTACAGATTGTTGATTTACTCATGACATTGAATAATACATTTGCTCATCTCCAGCAATGGAATCTTCCGATTTGGGGAAAAGAATATACAACTGTGTAATCCTCTCTAATACAAAATTTTCTTTGCAGTTTCCCAGTCCTTTGTATCTCTCTCTAATGCAACAACTTGTATATGTAATCCTCTCTCACTCCGCTCGTCGATCTCTCTCTAAAACGAAAACTTCCCCTTATATGAATTTGTGAATGCTTAACCCTCCCTGTGCCTGCATTATTATATGCTAGAAACCAATTTAAAAGAAGGTTTGGTTTATGGTGTAGCCTTGGTTTCACTGTAAAACTGTGTAATTGATAGCCTTGGTTTCACTGTAAAACTGTGTAATTGAACCCCATTGTCCAATTCTTTTGTATTTAGGAGTACTTAGAGATGCCCCATAGTGTCTGCAAATTAAGCTTAAAAAAACCCAATAGATCTATTGTCCATGGAAATGGACTGTTTGGATCATGACAATGGAGATAGACCATTTTCAGTGCTCCAAGTCCACTTTTTTTTTTTTGCTGGAGGTTGGTTGATTGGAGAAGTAGAATGGTTTTCAGGTCCTTAAACATTTCAGAAAATTAGTGAGGTGCAGCTTCACAGTTTTGGGTGTAGCTGTGGCCTCGTAAGAATATTTTCCTTAAATCTATATATAGCTTGTGATTTGTGAATCAATTTCATGTGAAGCATGTTTTGTGTATTGCTTCGCTCCATGCTTCAATCCATTTTTTAGCATGGAGAAGGTCTAATACTACTTGAAACCATGATTTCGCCAACAGGTTTGGAGCCACCATGATGAGGTTTTTTTTCTTTGAGAACTGAGCCACTGAGATTATGGGAGTAGATTTCACTTTGTTATATTGAAATGAAATCTGTTTTCCAATTTGACAATAAAGTGCAGATCGGATGAGAAGAATTCTGTGGGAACTTTAGGGGGCGCTTGGTAACAAGAAGTTTTTGACACTAGAAGCAAAAACTTCTTTTTCATGGTTGTACTTCAGAATTTGTGAGTTGTTACGTGACATGTCGGGCGAGACCCCGCATTAGAAATTTCATGTAGGGAGCGGGCACACGTGGGTGTTTCAGCCCCAACCAATTCTCTGGGCCTTTTCTTACCCAAGCCTCCTCTCTTCTATTATGCCCTTCTTGCTCGCACCTCCTCTCTCCAAAGCTATTTCTCTTACTCTTCTGTTGAGCTTCTCTCTCACCTTGCTCTCTCCCCTCTCTGCTGCAACCTGCTCTCTCTCAATTTGCTTTTACAAATAGCAGATTCTCTCTCTAGCGGAGGACCACCTACAAAGATTCAATCTTCAATCTACAACTACAAGTGTGTTTTTTTATCCAGAGGATTAGATTCTAGTGCTTGTGATTCATCAGAGACCCCAAATTTTTTTCTTTTCAGAGAATTAGAGTTTGGTGCTTGTGATTCTTTAGAAACCCTATCTCTTGATCGTTAGATTTTCTTCTTTTTTTCATTCATTAGAAACCCTAACTTCTCTTTAGTTGGGTGCTTTTGAGTTTGGGATTTTTGATAAATTGTGCAAAAATGGTCGACAAAGCCATACAAGTGCTTGATCTCATCGCCCAGTCTGGTATCAACCCATCTCTCAATGTATGACTCCATACTACTTGTCTTAGTGAGTGAAAGGTACGTTTCGCTATGGATGTCCTTAAAAGACACCCCTTAACAAGGGATGAACATGTGCATAATAAAATCATGCTTGCTCTATTGTCCCTCATTCCTGAATGACACACACGGAATTCCTAAAATTATCTCCTTCCAATTTACATGCCTAGTGTCTTAGCTTCCTAACTTGTATTTTAAAATATGTCTTCCATCAAATCTCTCTCGTATATTGCTCTATGGATAATTTGCATATTCATATCCTCTCTCTTTAAAATGGAAAACATTTGCTCCATGGAAAACTCCCCAACGAGACGCCCTCTTCTGGCTCCAGCTTCCCTTCTTTGTCCCTGCTCCTCGGACCAGACCCTAACCAGTTACATCTCTTCTCCTCACTCTTGTGTGCTTTCTCACTCCCTCTTTGCCTCTACTCTCTCTTTCCGTCTCTCCTCTAAACCCTCCAATCTCTTCTCTCTTCTCTCATCTGCCCTCTCTGTTATCTCCTCACGCCCCAAGTCTCCTTTCTCTCTCATCTGCTCTCTCACGCCCTCTCTCCCTCTGCTTTCTCTCTCACGTTCTCTCCCTCTGCTTTCTCTCTCACGTTCTCTCCCTCTCTCTCTCTGTTAGGATCTCTCTCTTACACCCCAATTCTCTCTCTCTCTCTCTGTCTTCCCCTCAATAAACTAGTCTAGGTCTTCCCTCCTTTTCATTGAAGAACCATGATTCCTCGAAATATTGGGAGGAACTGAACAAGCTCTTTCTGCTTACCCTAATTCGCTGCCCTTAATGGTCTGTAGTCCTAATTTGGTGAGATTTTGGTCATTTTTAATATTACGTGGGTCCATATATGTTTATGTGCAACAAATTTCAGACATCTTGGCTGTTTCTATGAAACAAATTCATTTTTCTGTGTATATTTTGTTTATTATTTTGTGAGTAGAAAGCTTGGTTGGAGGTTTGTTGTAGGATGTAATATATTATTATTTTTTGTGTCTGATGAATATTTTAAAAAAATTGTTTATTTATTAATTTCTCAAGCTGTAACAAGGCAACTACTGGAGCTTGGACAATTCTTGTTCAGTTATTTTTGTATGTCACTCCTTTGTTACATTATTTAAATAAAAATTTGGATAAAATCTGTACTTGTATCTGGGTGTTATAGGAAGATAGACTTTAGCATTTTCTGGTGAATTTATTGTCTGTGGTTATCATTTTGCAAAGTCTAGTTGTAACTTTCAGATTTAACCAAAATTTAACTAGTTGGAATTGCTTCCAATTATTTAAATTTATTGTCTCAAATCTTCTTAAACCTTTAAGATAAAGAAATCATTTCATTTACCTAATGAAAGGTGCGTGTTGATTCACATTTCAAACTAAATTGTTGACTGTTATTGATGATGATCGGACCTCAATGAGTAGCCACGAGTATAGTGAAAAATTCCTCCTAATTCTTGCGTATATTTTGACGACGAAAACTCTAGGAAGGCTTCCAAGAAGAATAAGAAGAGAAAGAAATAGTTTGAATAGTTTTTTCTAGTTGTCTCGGGGCCATTTTCAGATATTTTTTATTTATTTCATTGCTAGACCAGTTAGGGACTTTTTAGACACTTTAATTAAAGTCAGGGAGTTTAATGTAAAGTTATACTTAAGTTATGATCTCTTAGTCTAAGTTTCAGTATATGGACAAATATTGTCAGAAACATTAAATAGATAATATCTAAGTGGGGTGTGGATGGCTGGAGGCAGATCACACACGTTTTTTTAAGAGAAAAAAAACTTCTACTGAAGAAAAAAGAAAAGAAACCTAAACTTTGTGGCCTAAACTTTCTGATTTTATTTGTTTTCTCGAGTTCTCTACATCAGTTATGTTCCTAACTTGGGGAAAGATAATTGTATTAAGGCTTCGTTTGATATGGGTGGTTTTTGTCTCTTGGTTTATTGTGGTTTTCTATTTCATTTTAGGGTTTAATAAAGATGTAAGCCACATTTTGTAATCTTTAACTTTTTTTATTAGGATTGTTTTTGGTCTAATAGTAGGGATTAGTATTAGCTAGGCTTTAATGGTTTAGTTAAATTTTTTTTCTTAAGGTCATTTGTGTTTTATGAGATTAGTATTTGCATATCTATGTCTATTTTCATTGATTTCCTTATCCTGTTTGACAAATACTCCTTTATTCCATGGAAAATATTCTTCAAAATACATCGTTGTTGAAGACTACAAGAACTACAAAGGGGAAACCTTACCAGTTAAATCCTCTAAATTATTTATTCAAACTTTGTATTGATAATTTTGCAGTAACATCCACAATAAATCATCCATCTACTCACTGCTTTCCCCGGTGAATTTTAACTATAAATATACTTACTAGTGATTTCGCTGAGATTTTTTGGGTTCTATGCAATGCTCAATCTATCATTTGATGTGTTTAGCTCTGTAATAGATTTAGTTGATCTATGATGTAATTTTGCAAAAATATCTTCATGAAACCATCCTATCTACTCACTGCTTTTCCAGTCAATTTTAATTATAAATATTACTGAGATTTTTTGGATTCTATGTGATGCTTAACCTATCCTTTGATGTTTTCAGGCTCTGGTTTATTCATTGAGTCATCTTTGTAGGATCCGTGGAAATCCTAGAAGATTGCTTCTCCATTACATTCATCAATATTTGTGAAAGAGTTTTGCCAAAAACTTGGTCATGTTAGGGTTTTGTGAAAAACATTGTCTATATTTCTTATCTGTGGGCGTGGAATTGATTGGTTTGCCAAAAGCTTGGTAATGTTATGGTTGTCCTTCCCTTAATGCATCTCTATTTCTTTCTCATGCTCTCTCTCTCTCTCTGTAGGTCTTAGTTGAAGCCTACAACCCTAGAGAGATAGTACACAACCTGTCGTAGAGCACAACCAGGAAGCTTAGAAGACTCTGCTCAGATACTATGATCTTCATTAATATGTATCTCGTTGTGTTTAGAAATGTCGTCTTTTGTTGGGGTTTAATATTCTGAGTTCTTACACATGTAGCCAGCTTTTGTTTAATTGAATGATACAATGCTGCTTCACGAAATATTTTGCAATGTATTTGAAAAGTGAGATGAACATTTCATAATCTATAAAAGTGGAACACATAGAAGCCAAATAGACCTCTTTCTAGTTAAGAAGGTAAATCAGCCATCATGTAAAGATTGCAAGGTTATCCTAGGAGAGAGTTTGACTATCCAACGTAGGCTTTTAGTCATGGACGTCTGCATAAAGACATGGAAGATAAGGGGTGAAAGTAATGGGCGTCCAAGAACTAGGTGGTGAAATTTTAAAAATGAGAAAATAGATTTATTTGAGGATAAATTAGTTAAAGAAAGAAAATGAAACTCTGAACATGATGTTAATGTAATATGGAATGAGATGGTTGAATGTATCAAGAAAGTGACAAAAGTAATTTTAGGAGAATCTAGAGGGAAAAGAAACTTTGATAAGGAAACTTGGTGGTGGAATGATGAGGTTTAGAAGATCATTAGCAAAAAACGATCATGTTATAAAACTTGGCAGTATAATAGAAAGATCAAAACTTAGAAGAATATAAAAATGCTAAGAAAAATGCCAATCAAATAGTAAGTAAAGCTAAACTTAAGGCCTATAATAATCTATACAATAAATTGGGAACATGAGAAGTTAAAAAATATATCTTCAAATTAGCAAAAATAAGAAAGAAAAAGTGTAGGGGTCTAAACCATATTAAATGCATTAAGAGTGAGGATCAAAGGGTCTTGGTGAAGCATGATGAGGTCAACGAAAGGCGGAGGGCCTATTTTAAAAAATTATTAAATGACGAACACAATGGGAACATAGTAGTAGAAGGGACTGTTGGTACAAGTGACATTAGTGGTCTTAGATACATTCGTAGGATTAGGATGTTGGAAGTGAAAGAAGCTTTGAAAAGGATGAAGATAGGAAAGGCTTTAGGACCAGATGGAATCCCGATAAAGGTTTGGAAGTGTGTGGGCGAAATTGTCATTAACTGGTTCACGAGACTGTTTAACAAGGTGTTGAGAACAAAGAAAATACCAGATAAATGGAGGAAAGGTATTGTGGTACCTATTACAAGAACAAAGGAGACATACATAATTGTAAAAACTATCGAGGGATCAAGCTTATGAGCCATACTATGCAGCTTTGGGAGAGAGTTATTGAGCAACGTCTAAGGCATGATACGAGTGTATCTGAAATCCAATTTGGTTTTATGCCAGGAAGGTTAACAACTGAGGCTATTTCTTTACTTAGGCAAACTGTTTGAGAAGTTTAGGGCAAAGGGAAAAGACCTCCATATGGTCTTTATTGATCTAGAAAAAGCTGATGATAGAGTAACTCTTGATTTGATTGGGTGGTTGTTGGAAAAGCAAGGCGTCTCTAAACACTACATCTACTTTATGAGAGATATGTACGATGGAGCGCTAACTACTGTATGAGGAAGATGTCGCACACAAAATTAGAGCTAGGTGGGCGAGGTAGAGATGTGCAACTGGAATTTTATGTGATCGTTGCATACCAATAAGGCTAAAAGGCAAGTTCTATAAGACAACGGTGAGATCATCTTTGCTTTATGGGGCGGAATATTGGGCGGACAAAAAACAATATACGCATAGAATGAGTGTAGCGGAGATGAGGATGTTGAGATGGATGAGTGGCAAGACAAGAAGGGATAGAATTCAAAATGAATCTATTCGAGAGAATTTAGGCGTGGCACCAATAGGCGATAAATGAGATAGAGTAGACTCAGGTGGGTTGGCCATGTGTGGTGCCAACTAAGTACATCTATTAGGAGGTGCGAGTTAGCTCAAGTGAAAGGACTGAAAAGGACAAGGGATAAGCCCAAAAGGACGTGGTTGGAAGTAGTCTGAAAAGATATGGGGACTTGAGACTTTACTAAGGATATGGCCTTTAATAGAGCAGAATGGAGAACCATAATTTATGTAGCCGATCCAAATTAATTGGGAAAGGGCTAAAATGATGATGATGATGATTTGAACTTGGAGAGCAAAGAAGGGGGGTTCTAGAAAAGGGTGGATGAGTTTCTATCATAAACAGGCCGGGCTGGGCATTGTATTTATTTGAATGATGGATCAATAGTTATCAAATGAATTCTTCACAGATTATTAATAATAGAAAAACTAGTAATGACATCGTATTCGATATTCATCTGTATAAAAACCACGCTTTCTATTATTAATAATCTGTTATAACCACTCAAAAGCTGTCTAGACATAGATTTCGTTTTGAACTTTCCCCAAAATTGAGTTCTAAAATGGCCAGGAGCACACATCCTTTTGATGGATCTTAAGTCTAATGAGTTAATAAGATAAAAAAATCTTTTCTCAAAAAAAAGGAGCACACATCCTTTTGATGGATCTTAAGTCTAATGAGTTAAGAAGATTAGCATCTCTTCCATTGCCTCATTCTCATGTTTCTTAAACAAGATATTTTGGGGATACACTCTCTTTATGCCAAATCACTGCACTTTCTTGTCAAACTAGAAAACTGCCTTCATTTCAGTTCCCATGACAAAGTGAAATCTACTCCCATAATTTCGTCTTCGTGGATTAGTTTTCCAAAAAAAAAATCTCGTTTTGGTGGCTCTGAACCTGTCAGGGAAATCATGGTTTCAAGTGGTGTTGGACCTTCTCCTGCTCAACATTGCTTCCTCCATTTCCCTACCTGCCCTAACCTGCAGAATTGGATTCTGTTTTAAATAAAAATAAAATAGCAATCCATCTCTCTCTCTCTCATGTTGTGGCAGTCCATACATACTGCTTTTCGTTTGTAAGGACTGTTAACATGGAAATCTAGATGTCATGTTGTGGCACCCACCACCCGCACCACTTCTGGGTAGAGCCCATTCTCTTACCCCATCTATTTATTTTCACCCAAAAACTGTCAAATTTAATGTGTAAATTAAAACACTCCTGCTTCACATGGTGCTCTCCCCCAATTAATTTTGTGAATTATTATAGACGTTCTAAATCTGTTCCTTGAGCTCAATACAATCCAGTATATTACTGCTTTCAGTTTTCCTTAATTTCTTGTCAAAACTGGAGAACTTTTCATCATATTTTCTTAGGGGTTTTCTCTGTTAAACTTGTACATTGATTTTGAATGTATCTAGCTCAGATTATGGCAAGTGCTGTTGATGCTGTTGGAGAGCCCATTCCAACTTCAGCTGTTCTAATGGCTGCTTCGAAGCACATTGCTAGGAAATGCAGGGCGGAAAACAGGGATTTTCTAAATTGTAAAAGAAAAGATCCTAACCCGGAGAAATGCCTGGACAAGGGGCAGGAGGTTACACGCTGTGTTTTGAGCTTGTAAGTGTACTCTTTAATTTATATTTTTTAGCCTAAATGGTTTGCACATGCATGATTGGATACTTGTGTTGGTTTATGTGAGCATTGTTATATGTATTTATAACAGTTTCTTTACCTATGCTAAATATTTGATGTTTAAAAGTGTTGTTTTCTTTTTACATGGATGACTGTTAAACTTTGTCTAATCATTCCCAAGAGATGCGTAATTTAATGCTTTGCCATTTTCCTTCGCCCTAATTTATAGAAATCCCCTCAAGGTTCATGTCAGAAATGGCCAAAAGTTGCTTGAGGGGCAATTTCCAATTTAGCCACTCCGTCAAAACAACAGCACTTTCTAGAAACCCCAACATTCACAAGATATTAGTATTATAAATCACCATTATCTCACCTTTAACAATGAGATTTTGAGGTCTATGAGATTTTGGACTTCTTGGTGGTAATAAGTTTAAAAAAGCCAGTCAAATATTGGTATTCTTAAATACAAATTTCTCATTTGTACTACATTTTGGCAAAATATAAGCATCACAAATACCAATATCCAGAAAATTGTGGTCTTTTACGAAATGCTTTTGCCTTGATGGAGGGGCCAAACTGGAAATTGTCCCTCCAATGACTTCTGACCACAAGCGACATGTACTTTGAAGTGCTTCCTAAAATTAGTGAAAAGTGAAAAGGTGAAGTGTTAAGTTCTGCATCTCATACGTGGGGAGAGATAAAATTCACATCAAATGTTTTTTTTCCCTACGACGGGTATGTTGTATCAGAAGTTGTCTAACTTTTGTTGCAGCATGTGTATGCCGACTTGTGGAAGTCAACATTGCTTTAGTTTCTACTCTAGCAATGAGGTTTTCTTTAATCATTTTTACCTGAAATCTTCCATAGGCTAGTCTCTAATCTAGAAAATCTCTGTTCTCATACTATGTGACATGATATGCAATCCCTAGTCGAAGGCATCAAGCATTATTATTGTAGAGGCTGGATTCATGAAAGTAGCTGCAGTCAAATTGCCTGTTGGGTGATCATTCATGATTGTGCTATTGAATGCAAGTGCATTACTGATCCTCGTCCTCCTTTCTTTAATATATCGGGTTTTGCAATTCTGCTGTTTCTACTGATAAGAAGTCTGCTAACTTCAAATTCAAATTGATTTATAAAGGTTGCCTTTGAAGAATAATTGACAAAGTCTTTCTTTCATTTAGTGCTATATGATTCCTTTTGGCATTAATTTGTGGGAAAGCCTGAATGGTGAATGTAGAAATATTGAACTGAGTTCTACATCCTTTTTCCATCGTTTTACTTATATCGTTATCTTTACATCCTTCTCACATTGTTATGATGGTGAACAAGTGCCTTAAAACTTGTTTGGTTTGCAACAGGCTTTACTGGTATGGTGTAACAGTAACTAGACAAATATTTTAGTAGATTGCTATAGAGAATGCCAAGCTCCCAAAGAAAGATACAGCTGGCAGAGTTTGGTTTTCTCTAGCACTTGTTTTGCTACTGATTTGTATTAACTGGTTAAATGATTTTGCTCCTGTGCTCTGCATATGACTTGTAGCACAAAAATTTAGCATGGTAAAGGGCACGTTTGACAAACTGGAAAGTGGGGGAAAAATCTGTAGTTTTCCAGCTTACTGCAGTTTTCCCTAGTTTGTCAACATGGATAACTGCAGGAAATTGCAGAAAAGTCGGGGAAAAGGGAAATTTTTTCCCCACTTTTCTGCAAGGAGTTGGCTACCCATCTCCACGAGAATGGGGATAACATCCCTCCTCCAATCTCTCTCATATAGCCCTCCCCTTTCTTTCTCTTTTCTTCTCTTCTCGTTCTTCTCCATTAAAACTTCTAGAGGAAAAAGGCTCGCTCTCATACCTTCAGGTTAGCATATTTTTCATCAATTTTCACTCTATTTCTCTGATTAAAATTGAATATATGATCTCTTTTCCACCAGTTTTTGGTGAATTTCTCACTGTTATCATTTGACGCTCTAGTTTCTTAGGGTTTTTTTTTTTTTGATTGTTAAGGAATTAAGGTCTATAATCAGTTTCTTTTGGAGCCATTTTAATATTGTTGGATGTATATTTGTTGTCAGTTGTTTATTGTTTTTTAGAGTTCGTGAGAATAACATGATGATATGAAAATTTTCCCTATGTCAAATGGATTTCTCCCGAAAGTACACCAAAAAAATTGGAAATTTTGTTCTCATATGAGTATTTTTAGTTTTTGTCTAGTCCATATTTGTATTATTTGGATTAAAGGAAAGAGCTTGTTTTTCTGTCACCGACTTGGATAGTGGATATTTCCCCTATCATTATTTGTCTTTTGTTTTCCCCTTATCAACTCCGTTTTGCTTCGGTTAACTATCAGTCTGAATCCATCCTTTTTATACTTTGTTTTGTGTATCCATACACTTCTTGTTTTCCCACAGTATGTTTAATGTATTATCAATTTTGTCTATTTTTGTCCCCTCCCACATTTTCCTGTCTTTTTCTTTATTTACTTTTATTATTTCTTCCTTTTGTCGCACAAGAAAGAAAAATAAGAAGTAGCATTGCCACCACTTGTTCACACCTTTTTCACTCCTTGCTTTCCATTTCCTGTACCTTGTTTTCCTTTGCTTTTAGCATTTTCATTTTCAATGGGCTAATTAACTATATTATTCTGTCCTTGTTTTTTCTAGATTATATTATATAGTTATGCGTTATTAGAGCTTGTGTTCTCTCTCAACTGTTTATAGAAGGTGTCTGTTGTAAGTTCATATGAGTCTCTATCTCAGCACTAAACCCATACGTGGCATTGGTTATTTTTTGTGATTTCAGGTTTTTATTTTACTATTTAGATACTTATTTCAGTTGCTATATTAACTTTTCCAGAATAGCAGAGTCGTCTAAAACCATCATGAGACACTATGAATGAAAGAGTGGGAAACCAATTTATATGGCAATAGTTTATGATCTAAATCATTGTTTCGTGAGCAATGATATGGATTGTTTGTAATTAAAAAACAAGAAAGAAAACTTATGCAAGAAATAATTTGCAGCCTCTAATCAATGACTTAGATAATGAATGGTTAAAAACAACACTTCTAGCTTTCCAAGTTCCCAAACTGGGTAAATAGTCAACGTCAAATTTCCAGGACAGATTACCAAACAAGGTTTCCAGCTTCCAGGCACCAATTTTGCTTTTCTATCATATTCCAGGACTCCCAACTTTTGACAAAGCATTTCCAAGTTGTCAAATGTGTTCTGGTGTCCAGTTTTATTGGTCATTTGGATTTCTTTGTTTCCAAGATATGTTAGCTAGGTTTTAGCTGACACACTTTATGTGCATTGAAGATGTGAAAAATGCAAAGGTGCCTGAGCTGGGGGATAGTACTGATAGGTCTGAGGAGCGACCTGAATTGGAGGAGCAGGGGGCTGATAATCCAGCGCGGCGACTGGGAGTGAACGATCGGGGCCTGGTGTACAGGATATTCCTGGTAAGGATGACTGGAGGCCAGTGTGCGGTCAGAGGATATGGAGCCGACTGGTACGACTGACTAGGACGACATTGGATTGGTGCAGGGGCTGAACAAGCTACCTGCGAGTGATGGAATGGGACCGGGGCGGCCTGAAGAGGTTGCACCTGTGGGTGATTGTACACGACTTGAGAAGGGTCAGGTCTGGACTCGTTATGGGAACCATAAAAATGTTATTGTGAGCACGAAGAAGGAAACAGACCCTCCATGGAAGTGAAATAGTATTTTAGATGAGATTTTTGCAGATTTTGGTAACCGCTCAGTTACACTCCACTGGTGTTGGTAAACAAAGAAGATGGCTGATCAATTAGCGAGGGACGAGGTTAGAAAGTTGGCTTATGTATTTTTTTTAATTCATTTAGGAATGTCGTAATTATGAGAAATTTTGGGAATACATATTTGTAAAGCTTGCCATATTAGTGAAAACATTCGATAACTATTAAAAACAGGATGGGTAGTTTTTTCAATAACAATGTCAGCCAGCTAGTAGTTTTTTCAATAACAATGTCAGCCAGCTATTCTTTCTCCTCCATGGTTGGAGAATCCAATGTATTATAATATGTGCCTTAAGTAACTCTCAGGAAATTGAATAATAATTTAGTTGTTATTTTTGCTCCTGCAACTTCCATTTGCAGTGCGTAGCTAACTGTTTTATTCTCGTCCAAGTCATGAACGCCTACGTGGCCAGGTCCTAGCTCATTTCAAGCTGATCCTGGTTTTGTGTGTATGTGGTTGTATGTGTGTGTGTGTGTGTGTGAGAGAGAGAGAGAGAGAGAGAGAGAGAGAGAGAGATGCTCTATACGAGA